AAGTATAATTTAAAAAAAATGAAAGGGTGTCAGAACATGTTTTACTCATTTATTGCAAAATGAAAATATTATTCATTTTCGACGTATCTCGATTCAATTTTTATAGTAACCGCCCTGTTACGTATAATGTACACTGCCATAAAAAGCTTTATATGTGTAAGATATAGATATTTATTAGCCGTAATATATAGAAATTGAATTCATATGCAATAAAACATTTTCATAATACTTAAATCTACACATATACGAAAACAAAAACCTTCAGTTACTGTTCAGTGAGTAGTCCGCATTTATATCTCAGTTCTTCCAATTTGTAATCTATCGTTAAATCCACACAAATGTTACGTGCGTGATTTCGTTTGCTTTAGGGGAGATACATTTTATTCCTTCTCGTTATAAGATTTTTACACATCATTGACACAGATCGTAAAATAAAAGCATTTTCTAGAAGTAAACTTATATTTTATACCGTAATGCGAGTGTGTTGATGTTAAAGAAAAGAAGATGCTTTTCAAACGGTATCATGTTACGACCGAGTTTCTGCAGATGATCGCACGCAAGAACAAAGGATACATAGACACGAGGCTGGAATGATACAACATGTATCCTTCAAAAAAGCACCCAATAAAATAATAATACTAGAGGTGCATGGAATCGTGCCATAAGGCAAATTGCTGAAAATTCCCGTACCAAAAAATATTTTTTTAAAAAAAGATTAAAGTAATAGACCATTTTAAAGAAATTGAATTTTTTCAGCTTGCGTTAGCTGCGTAGACGCGTGAGTCTAAAGCTAAAAAGCAGTCTAAAGGCTAAACAATGGTATTGGAATCCATAGAAATGAAAACAAAATTTATAAAATATCTGATAATTTGATGTACATACGTCTAATTTCATTATTTTTGTCTGCCAAATGGCATTTTTTTTAATTGGATCGCCAAAACCGCTAGACTGATCTCCCAAAAATTTCATCAAAACTTCATTTTGTCAATACATAAAAAATTTTATTGAGTCATTCAAATCGGACGCACCGTTCTCTTATAAAATGCATTACCATTTTTGGCACTCAGTAACTATGCTCTTTGAATCATTTAAATCGGTAGATCCGTGTTCCCGAAATCGTTGCCGAAAATTTGTATCCAACACACACACACACACATACATCGATTTTATTCTAAGGTATGCCAAAATGTTGATGAACTTTGAAATGTAAAGATATTTACAAATTTTCATTTTCGATTCTTTTGCGATTACTGTAACTTACCCTGCGAAAAGTTAAAAATGTATCATATAAAGCATCTTGACATAATATTGCATAAGGGTTATAAATAAAAAAAATATGTACAAGTTTTGCGATAGCTATAAAACGAAATAAAATATAGTAAAGAACAGCTGTCTCTATAAAATATCTAATAATTTGATGTACATATGTCCATTGAACATTTTTGACCGTCAAATGGCTTTTTTCAACTTATTTTTATTGAGAGTCCACAACCGCTGGACCTGCCTTTCAAAAAATTTAAACAGCTTTTCATTTAGTCAATACAAATAAAATGTGTTTTGAATTACAGAAATCAGACGCTTCGTTCTCTCAAAAACTGAATTACCATTTTTGGCCCTGTTTGCCACGTATCTTCGGAACGGCTAGCCTACCTTCGCTAAAAACTAATCAGCACGTCTTCTTATTATATTTTAAATTATTCAAATCGGTTATTCAATACTGTTGAAAATGTCGAGGACCATATACGTTGTTTTGTTTGAACCATTTTAAAATTAAATATCTTGGTACAAAACCCAAAAAAAATTACACAAAATGTGTACACATTATTAAAATCTCTATAAAATTTTTGATAATTCGATGTACATATGTTCAATATACATTTTTGACCGACAAATTGCATTTTTTTAACTTATTTTTATTGCGAGTCCATAACCGCTTGACCTGACTTCCCAAAAATTTAATCAGTTCTTCATCTTGTTAATACAAGTAAAATGTTTTTTGAATTATTGATATCGGGCTCACCGTTCTCTTAAAAACTGAGTTACCGTTTTTGGCACTTTCTGCCCCGTATCTTCGGAACGGCTAGACCTGCCTTCGCCAAAAACTCCGCACGTCTCCATATTGATACGAATCGAATGTTTTTTGAAATCAAATCGGGTGATCGGTGTTCCCGAAATCGACGACAAAAATTTGTATCCACACACAAAAACATACACACACATACATCCCTTTTTTCTCAGGTATGCCAAAATATTCAGAAACCTTTGAAACGTAAAGATATACAAAAATTTTCATTTTCGATTTATTTGCGATTACTATAACTTAGCCTACAGGATGTTAATAACAGATTGTAAAACAAAAATAATTATTACATAAGGCCTCTTCTTAATTAGCGTTCAATTGAGTTAAGAATTTAATAATATCTGAAAAAATAAATCAATTTAGTTCTAAGGAACGTTCAATACGCTCGCTGAAATAAATCTAACAATAAGGAGATCATATTTCAGATCCTTTTCCGTTAAATTGCCCATCTCTATGTGTTTTGTTATGAAAAAGATTTGTATCACCAAGTCTGTGACTACTGAGTTTCCGATAAAAAAGAAATTGCAGACAAAACGGGAAACCTATACGATACACTTGCTGTACGCATCGACACGTGCCTGTTATGTTATTACAGAAAAGGTGTTTCTTTGTTAAATTCATTCTTTGAGAATTTTCGATATGCAACACGCGATGCCAGATCACGAGCAATCGGATCGAACCGTATGTTATAAATTGCAACATTGTAAAAATAAAGTATAATATAAAGCTTTCACGTAGAAATAGAATGTAATGCCGCAAATATATCTGATTTTATGCATCTTTGCAAGCCAATAAGAATAAAAAGACTAAATTACTGGTATTTTCAAGGTTGACTAAAATGCTGAATGAAAACTTGTTTACTAAACGGAAATGATAATTAAATGTAGTACGATTAAATGTAGTACGATTAAATGGATTACTTAAATACTCTTTTGAAATACGTGTTCATACACGTATGAATTTCAATAAATATATATTTTGTAGCTGGACTGTGTTTCTTAATTGATTTTTATTGTAATAGATAATACAAAAAATATCTAAATATTTATACATTTAATTTATATATTTAATATCTGAAATTAAATATTTAAATAATAATTTAAAGGATACAAAAATAACTAAAATTGACCTAATTGGCAATTTAAAAAATAACAATAAATTGAGGGAGATGTACACAAGAAACTCTTCCACCACTTTCTTCGCTCTATCGTTTTATGAGTTATAACAAAACTTAGTAACAAATAAAACTCTATATACTTGAAAAAACCTAAATAAACAAAAAATTTAATATATATTATGCTGAATCATTTTAAATATTACAAATAGAACTGGTAGGTATTTGTTGAAATAGTTTTTTTATAAATTAATATATCTTGAGATAATTATATTATACTGATTTTACTGATTATATTTCCACAAAATACAGCTAGATATATGCTTTAACTATTTCCCTGCCAAATCAAATAAAAATAATTAAATAAATTAATTAATCATTCTCGAAAAAGGTGCTGTATTACAACTTACGTGTTTGGGGTTAGTTTAAACATCTACCGGATCTAAGGACTAACGACAAAAAAATGACAGTAACTCTGATAATTCATTCTTTACTTATTTTTTTGAAAAATAAATAATTTGTACGTAATTCTTTTTATAAATCGACGCAATCTATAGGGTGGCCCAGGGTGGTCTAGGGTGGCCCATTTAAAAATTGGAATTTATCGATAGCAACTTGCCTGTAGGCCACACCGTGCAGAATTTGGAGTTGCGGTCTGTGGAAAAAAACTAAGAATTTTGAGACCTTGCTAACAGTGTATAATACTTTATATGTTTTCTTTACAGAAATATCTAAACCGTAAGATCACTAGATCACTAGGACCGCTAGATGCACCATCCTGGACCACCCGTTATAATTAAAGTAATAAACAATTTTATCATAAATCAAGGAAAACTGCAATTATTTTCATAATACAAATAAAATATATAGTTATAGTGAAAAGTGAATTTGTATGTGCCTATATCTTACAAACTATACATTCCATCCAATCCTATTCAATTGAGCCAGTATATAATTCTTGTATGTTACAACTAGCCCCAATGTTTTATTTCAACTAATGCCAGATGTGATTTTTTATATTAATCAAGATATCAAGTCAATATCAAATCAAGACCATTCACATAATTTAGAAATTACTAAAATTGTCACACATTAAATTGTTGATAAACTTGAAACGGAGTATTAAATACAAATTTTATATTACATGTAATAAATGACGGACCTGCACAGTTCTGTATACTGCGTCGCCCGCGGGACTGTAGTTATAATAATATTTGCAGAACGGTTTACATGTCCACTGTAGACAAAAAAAAATTTAATATCGTATGTTACCATTTGCCCCTGTTACAAGAGTCCCCAAGTTTCCCTAAATAAGTTTTAAAAAAAAACTTCTAATGTGTTTTGTTAACGATAATTTAACAAATTTAAAATGCCACCAAATTTTAATCATTAAATTTTAAAACTTTTTATTTAAAATTTATTATTTTTAATATATGTTATTAATAATAATTAATTATGAATAAGATTAGATTTTATCAATTCATCTCGTAGAAATTTTTTATTTTATTTATTAATTAATTTTTCTACTATGCCGATTTTGATTTGTATTATTAAAGAAAGTTTAAAAAATAAATATATATTGTTTTATTAGCTTAAATATTAGAATTTTAAGGTCTTTGTTTCATATTTTTACATTCCACTCACCACATTCTTCAAATACTATTTCAATTGCTTTATACGAAAAAATATAATTTTCACTCTAAAAAAATTCGTCTAAATAAAACTTAAATTTCAAATATTAAAATCTATGACTTACCACTGGCGCCGCTAATAACTTTTTTAAAGAAAATTATCTAAAAAGGATACTTCCATTCTACAATATCGATGCACATCTTTCGCAGCGGGTTCTTGAGCGGCAGGCAGAAGAGCGCCCTCAGCGGTCTATCGGGCGGCGGTTTTCCGGTCCTGCGCACGGGCCGTTTCGCCGCCGCCGCGTTGGCCGCCGCGTTGTTCGCGGCATTCGCGTTGCCGCCGGCAGCCGATGCGGCGACACCCGCGCCCGTCGACTTGGCACCGGTCGCCGCACCGCCACCGCCCTCCGTCGTCGCAACGGGAGCGGCCGTGCTGCTCATCACGCTAATCGCAGTCGCCTGAAAAGATAAAAGACATGTGAGGTATTGGATGTAGTATAAAGATAGCGAATCGTAAGAAATTTTTTTTTGTAAAAATGTGCGGGTGAATAATGTTTTTGGTCCTGATACTGTAACAGCTAATTATGCGCAATTTTGATTTCGTCGATTCATTCGAGTAATTCTGATGTCGAAGTCGCACGCGCACTGTATGACCAATTATCGAAAATGTCGACAAAATCAGGGAGTCCAACCGTCATGTCAGTCGATTTCGGTTGCCCAAAAGTTATAGATTTCACAAAAAATCATTTGGCACCATTTAAATAACGCTGGATACTAATGACTGGGATTGACGGGGAATTATCTACTGTGAGCTGATCGGTCAATAATTGAATGGTCTGAGAGAATCAATCGCCCAGAAGTGGCTAGCATTGGCCAATAGGAGAGAAATTATGTACTATCAGGACAACGCCAGGCTACACACATAGATAGGGATTCTGCAGAAGTTCCGGGAGCTTCTGAATGGGAAGTTTTTACTTGCCACCAAGCGATTACCATATGTTCCTGCCCACAAAGAATATTTTTGCCGTTGGAAAAAAACTCATAGCGATTTTTTTTTTAAATTATTATGTATAGTTTGAAATGAGCTTAGTGCAATCTAGAGCTTTGGTCAAATTGTGACCATTCTTCAGTTAATGCGGTTAATTTTTAACTTGCGTAGGGTAAGTTATTGTAATCGTCCAAAAATCAAAATTGAAAATTTTTACATTTCATCACGTTTTGAAGGTTTCTGAACATTTTGGCATGCCTCAGAAAAAATGGATGTGCATTTGTGTGTGTGTATGTATGTATGTATACAATTTTTCGTCCACGTTTTCGGGCGCACGGATCAACCGATTTGAATGGTTAAAAAAACATTCGATTCCTTTTGATAGTTTCAGAGATAAGGAGCAAAGAGTGCAAAAAATAGAAATCGAGTTTTTGAGAGAAAGGAGCTTCCGATTTGAATGAACTAAAAAACATTCAATTCGTAATGATGGGGAGAAGTGGTGATTAGATTTTGGCAAAGGCAGGTTTTCGAGATACCGAGCTGAATGTGCAAAAAATGGCAGTTTTTGAGAGAACTAAGCATTCGATTTTATTGATTTAAAAAACTTTCTGCTGGTTTTGACAAAATAATTGCTTTTGGAAAAAAAATATTTCAAAATATCGAAAATAATTCAGATTTTAATTTTAATTCTGGCTAAAGTTCTAAAGCTCACTTATATACTTCAAATAAATAATTTTAACTTTGTAATTCAGTTTAAATAACTCTTATAAATATAAATAGACAATGTTACAGTATTTATAATAATCTATATGAAAACATTTAATATTTCTCGAATATTTCGTACGGTACGGGAAGTTCCAGCAATTTGCCTTAAGGCACGATGCCACGCAAAACTAGTTTATAATTTTGTTCATTTAAGCTAGGTTTAGGTTTTATTTTTTATTCTAATTTTTTTTATTATAAGACTTTCAAGTATTTCACATTTTTTACTTTAAAGTAGACCAATTTTGAAAACTATAAATGCATAGTTTAACAAAATGTCTTGATTATTAAAAACTTAGGGCAATTATGTCATTATTTTTGACTTTGGTCCAGAAAATGTTATTAACGGTTACGAATCCAAAGTTTAAATCAACAAAATTAATAAAGATTAACCACAATAACAGAAAAATGGTCGCAGTTTCATCAAAGCTCTAGGTTGCAGTTAAAAGCTCACAATTTTCAAACTACATAGAATAAAAAAAAACAATTTTTTTATGACTGAGTTCTGTAACACCCTATATATTTATTTATTATTTGTATTTTTTATCTTAATTTATATATTGTATATTAAAAATTAAAAATTGATTGATAATGAATATCTAATCCAATTCAATTTATTTTTCAAAATTCAACTTTGCTGGAGATAAAAAGTTATACCAAAATATGCAAATTTCAGAAAAGAAAATTATATTAAATTAATATTAAAAATTACATAAAAATATTAATCTATTATAAATTACCTGCTGCCATGCACCGAGCGTCAGCGAGTATTGTGGGTCAAAAGCGGCCGCTGCTCGCTTGCGGTGTTGTTTCTGCTCCTCTTTCTGTTGCTTCTGGGTCTTCGGCTGCTGCTGCTGCTGATGATGTTGTTGCTGCGTGCGGTGCGCCTGCTGCGACGACTGCTTCGCTGCGTTGGCTGCGTTCTTGTCGACGGGTTGATCGCACTCATGCTGCTCGCCGCCTGGAAAATGGAAAGAGAAGAAAATTGGTGAAAATATTGTTTTGATTTATGAACTTGAACAGAAAATTATTACAAATATACTGGAGAATGGAAAGATAAAAATATTGGTGAAAGTATTGTTTTGATTTACAAACTTTAGCCATATTTATGTGCGAGGATATAATGTGTTTTCTGACAATGGAGACATAAAAATATTTGGACAGATAAATGTGAAGATTTTAACAGAACAACAAACAAAAATATTATTTGAATTGCTTCAGTTACAAAAAAACAATTTCAGGCATATTATTCTAAGAAATAATAATTGTAAAATATTTGGATAAATATATTTCGTGTTTGATTGATTTGCTCACATATTTCAATAAGTCAAAAATGTTACTAACTAATGATAATCTAAATTATTTACTTTATAATATGCATTATTTCAAATAGAGAATACATTGAAAATCTAATTTGAATTAGTATTTTTATATGCAACAGTTTTTTATAGAACTTACACGTAATTGGGGTAAAACAAAACAACTCAACCTTCATACTGGCAAGGTGTAAACAATAAACAACTAGTAAATAATAATATAAACTAGTTGTAAGTGGAATTCTGTCTCAAGGCAATTAAGGCATCGTGCCTCAAGGCAAATTGCTGGAACTTCCCGTGCGAAAAATTATTATTTATAATAATAATATATATAAAAAAATAAGATTTTTGAGAAACTATAAACTGGACAAAAAATTACTTTTTTTTGAAAAAAAAAAAATGTTTTCTTTATTTTGACATATTTTGGAAGATCTTAACTTCTTTTCAAAGCAATCGTACTGCTTTTACTGCATAGAGACAAAATATAAAGCGCGTAAGTGCCGCGTCGCTGTCTAACGGATAAACAGTGGTACGGAACCCATAGGAATGTAAACAAAAATACTTATTGGTAAAAAAATGTTGATGTGCATATGTCTAATGATCATTTTTGACCGCCAAATGGCATTTTTTTTACTTCTTTCGTAAATTTCCGAAACCGCTAGACCTACCCTTATGAAACATTGATCAACTCTTCATCTTGTCATACAAGTGAAATTTTTTTGAATTATTAAAATCGGACGCTCCGTTCTCTTAAAAACTAAGGTACCGTTTTTGGCACTTTTTGCCCCATATCTTCGAAACGGCTAGACCTGCCTCCGCCAAAAACTAGTCAGCACGTCTCCTTATCAATACGAATCGAATGTTTTTTGAATTATTCAAATTGCTTCATCCGTTTTTCCGAAATCGTCAACGAAAATTTGTATCCGCACACACATACGTACACGCGCACACACACATACACACACATACATATATTTTTTCTAAGGTATGCCAAAATATTCGGAAACCCCTGAAACGTAAAGCTATATAAAAATTTTCATTGTTAATAAGTTGAAATAGCTATTTTACAGAAGATAAATCAATAGTAATTTGAACTTTAATGATGAATTCTTCCGACAAAGTTCTATATTATTGTATCCAGTGCGATCTTTAACAAAAAAAGGTGCCCATAAAATATGTGAAGTGAAATTATTTCAAAAAGAAGTTATTTATTTGATTTGTAAAAATTGTATTTTAATGCAATGTTACCATTGTTAATATTTTACAAAATATGTTAATTATATAATACAGTATAAATTATTATAATATTTTTTTTAATGATTAAGTTAGTGTTTTTACAGAACACTAAACACACGTGAATGACTAAATTGCATCTTACGCTGAATATTCAACGATGTAGAAAATAAGTCGTATGTTTTATATAAAACACTAAAACAATTTTGCCTACATACTCATAAAATTAAAAATTACATATTTCATTCCCAATTAGTTTCAAAAATATATTCACTACTTGCTCACTACTTGAAGATCGGCTCTATCGTAATAATCTTGCACGGACAACTTTTAATAAGAACCAATTATTTTTTGAGCATAACGAATGAGTGCACTTGTTAGAATATGCCTTCGTTATTTTCATTATTCTCCTTTTACTTTGTTTGAGTACTTCACAAACTTTAACAACATTTGCTGCGAAATAAAACTGATGGTAAAGTTATGTGTAATTATTTATAGTAATTATATAATACGTTAACTAAACAGAACTCTTTGTGCTGCATTGCTTCACTTATTTTTCATGGATAAAATCTGCTGTAAATATATAATAAGAAAAGTGTAATAATAAAACCATTATTAAAAACAAAATTAACCTCAAAGTAATTTGCTCTCTGTTTATTAGAAAGAACAAACACATTATGTTCCTAAAATCTACGAAAGTATTTGTAAATTTTTGGAAATCTAGCAACATCTAGTAATATTTAGTTATTTCAGTTTGAGAAGGTGGGTAGCATGTGCCAGTTTGTAAGAAGAATCGAAAAGTAAAAAATCTTGAATATTTATCATTCAATAATACTCATCAAATTTATTCTCTAGTATGAATAAAAATTTGAGAAATATGTTGAAACTTTACTTATAAAAATTCTAACGTTCTAACTATAAAATTTGCTGTTCGCCAATTGTCAAGTATAGGTAGATAAGACTGATCAGAGTTAATATAATAAACTTCGACTTTGTAGAAGTAAAATATAGCAATTAAGATATTATGATTAATTAACTTGAATAACGTGAAATTCATGATGACTCTTCAAAATTATAAATAGCTGTGTATTTTATATAGCTCTGCTCAACAGTATAATTTCTTGTATAATTCGCGCATTCAACGCTAAAGATAAAATAAAATTTATCAAAATCGGACTATGAAAAATTTCCATTTGCAGTATCCAGCATGACTTGATATCTATATCGGTCAATAGTTTTCTGCCTTGGACAGTACTTTTACCATTTATATAGCAAAAAATTAACATATGGCAAAAATAAAGCTTACTATCATCCATCTTTGAAAACGTGTCTATAATATAATAGTGCAAACTCAAACATAATCTTGTCTACCATCTCTGTTTCAATATCAATCAATTGAAAACAAGTGTTCTAAAAATAAACGATGGCATTCCAGCAAGAGCGCAGCTTAAAGTTTCACTAGAGAATACCGATCTATACTTGTGAGTAATAGAATTTTTACAGTATGATCAAATAAATTGCGGAACTACTTTACATTAATACCCCAAGCGTGATGTTTTGCTGTATAATGGTATATAATGTGTTATATAAAGAAACATGACTTTGATAAATGATGATTCAGGAGGAAGAAGAGCGCAAGTTGAGCGCCCTGGAAAACTGAACGTTTTTTGTCGAACGGTTTCGCTTGTTTATTTCGTGAACGAATTTCCTACAGATTTTTATGGGATAATATAGATTTAGTTAATGCATTTTTAGAAACCGATAGTAGAAATTTTTGTCATTCATAAAAAATGCCATCGTTTCTTATTGTTAAACTCTTGGACTTGATCGATTAAAAATTATTTCTTTTTTCTCAAGATTTGATGTGACCCATTACGTATCACATCAAAATAAAATAGTTTTGAGCATCATAGGATTGTTTTTACTATATTGGGAGGCTATTTAAAAAGACTTGAAACATTAAATCTGTGTACATTTTTGAGTAATTTTTAATAAATAATGCATTAAAAATTTAACTATTATGAATTCAATATGTAAGTTATTTATCTCTGACTAAACAAAGGTTCAATGCACAAATTTACTAATACTATATATTAGTGATTAAAACGATAAAAAAATGGTAAACCAGATTGGGTTAAATTACAGATTGAGTCAAAATTTTATCTATCGCTGATGGTAAATTAGTTTAACAAATGGCTTACATGCTATATATCAAACATGAGGAAATTTTATATGCAATATGCAAATAATTGAATTATATTAATTAATTGAATAAGTATTGAATATTGTGAGTACGATTATCCTAACATATAAAAGATAAATAATTAGGAAAAACAATAGTTCAAGTAAATACAAAATTCAATCAACTTTTTTTTTTTTATTTATTTATCGTAGCTAACTATACAAAGTACATTCAGCTATATTATATTAGAGTTATATATTATTTGACTGCGTGAGAAGGATCGCTATCCAGCGATAGCACCTTCTTAGATGTTATGTGATATTTTGTAGTAAATCATTGCAGATTCTGTTTTTGAGATGCTTTGGTGGTAAAGGCTTGAGCAGATCCAACGCTAATTCGTTTGGATGACGACTTAGACGAGCTTTATATCTGGAGCAGTAAAGACTAATTTCTTCTTCTATAGTTCAAATTCTGAGATCTTGATGTATCAAGCAATTGGGAACGTATTTTGGAGCGTTTACGATTTCTTTCAAAATTTTATTTTGGAACCTTTGTAGAATAGTTATGTACGATTTACTGGCCGCACGCCATAGCTGTAGGCCGTAGGACCATATTGGTTTAATAATTGTCTTGTATATTAGAAGTTTATTTTCTATTGTGACTTGTGATTTCCAGCCCATTAACCAATTAAGTTGCCTACGTGTTAATTCAAGCTGCTGGCGCTTCTTTAGAATATGTTCATGTCAGATTAGTCTTCTATCTAAATGTATTCCCAAATATTTAACTACATTGGATATAGAAACAAATCACCATTCAATCTAACTGGGGGGCATGAACCTTGCCGTAAGGTAAAAGTAACGTAAACTAATTTAGAGTTATTCATTTTTATTCTCCATAGTTTCATCCACTGTTCTACTTCATCTACATTGAAAACTTTAGTTGGTAAATTAATTTAGCAAATGACCTAAATACCCTAGCATAAGTTCTTGATCTATCAAAGATTGATAGGAAGATAGAAGAGAGTACAATTCTAGTAATATAAAAATTATTAGACAAAATTAATTAAAATTCAGTAGCTCATATTAGAAATATAACTAAATCAATTGCATTCGGTAAATAAATGAAACAAACAATTGTTTATTAACCAACTACAATCTATCGAATTTTGGCCCATTTTGGGATATTTACTGATTTTTGTTAACCTTTATATATTATTTGCACCCTGAACCTGATCAGGACTATTTGAACTTGTGCCAGAGTATAAAGACCTGAACTTATGTTAGAGTATATAAGTTAACCTAGCACAAGTTTAAATATTTCTGATTTGGTGAGGGTTTAGGGCACTCTAGTACTCTAGTATAATACGTAATATT